GTAGCTATCAATGCCATCTGAAAGTAATATTGTTCGGCAGGCCGCCAGTTAAGTACAGACCAAAGGTTTATGAATAATTAGTCAAAACTCCAGCTACGCCCTACACAGAAGAGTTACCAAGTGGACTCGATCTGTACGGTGTTTTACTGATGCAGCGAAACTGAATGACGCAGTCGAAATTAACTCACACATATTAGACCGTAGCAGGGTGATTTCATTTTAAATCGTGCAGGAAATTTTGATAGGTCCTCAAGAATTCTTGAACAAATATATGTTGGTGGAAAATGTGCGACTAGAACAAAACGTCAAAGTAGAACTGCAGAAATTATTTTGTTGATAAGTTTTGGCCTTCGAAAAGGCAGAAGTTGGGTCTTCTGAATTATGCAGTTTCCACTAGGTACACATTCTGGAGTCCCACAGCGTTTACACTATCTTTTAAACAAAAATTATAACTTTTTTACTGGTTTAATACTCAGTGCATTTTTATTTTATCTTATACACAAACATTATTGAATCTCGCACTTTTGACAATAATGAGCCACTTTGAATCGAGCTTGCTTTCGATACACATTTATTTAAGTGCTAAGAGACACATCAAATGAAAGTTTTATCTAAGCCGATTTAAAAATCAGAATATTGATAACTTAAGTATAGTTTGTATAAATATACCACTTTAAACATGATAAGAACAACTAAAAGTACAAATTACAACTTCAATATAAGAAAAAACGCAATTTTTATTTTTTCAGTTTTTTTATATGAAAATGATTCTATGTGCTCTTATAAATCTTATAACATGTATTTTGTATATAAGGTATCGTCATATCAGGATGTGCGTTTGAAAAGAAGACCTTTGAAGAAGATATTTGTACCTCTTTTCTGCGACGCATATCTTTGTTATTTTTGTTTTTGACTTAAATATTTATTATTTCTGTAACATGATCGTAGTCTGTAATGGTTCTTCAGTCCACACACAGTTCGACAAAACTTTTACATCAATACCACTCATAGCATAATATGGTAAGAGGTTCCCCCTCACGTTAAGTTGCTTAGAAACTGCATAAGTCGAAATTTTTAATAATGTTTAAGCGTTGTCATGCAAGAATAACAAGCACATATAGGACGCTTTTAAAGGGTATCCGTGAGTTAATAGAGCACTCGTGGGAACAAAAACAATATCTAAAAGCGACGGCCCGCGGAGCGTCAATAACCGTGCCTGCATTTTTTTTCTTTATTCAAACAACTTTCTTTATACGATAACTAATATAGGCTTGTTGAAACATCCCGATCTCCGTCGTTACTATTGCCACTTTTATGTTTGCAAAACGAAATATCCGTTAGAGCTCTTGTAGAATGATATGAGCTTAAACCATTAGTTCTGAAAGCAACGCGCCGCTTCGCCGCTTGCTTTCTTGTTTCTTCAATATGTGTGTGTTTCGTAATTTAGCCTTTTTGTTTTTATTTGTTTTTAGATAGAAGTACCTTCAAAGTTTTTGTTTTGGCTATTTGTCTTCGACGGAAAGTAGGAACAGAAGGAAAATTAGCAAGCCGAGCGGCACATAGACATTCCGCCATCTTTTTTACCTCTTGGAGTGTTTTGATCCCCTTCTTAGATAGCTGTTGTGATTGTTTACTAGAAACATTAGAAACGACTATCATGTGACGGGTCGTACACGTGATAGAAAAGACGAAGCTATAGAAAACCTGTTATCATCAGGAGGTGCTACGACAGCAGAAGCTCATGCTCCGCAACCTTCGAGAGTGGCAGACTTTCTGAACCGTTTTCCTTCGCTGGCAGGTACTATGCTTCCCGCATATCGGGCATTTAATCTCACTTTGTTAGACACAGTCAACCAAAGTTGAGAGAGGGAGCAAGTACTTTTTGCCTGACAGCAAGTTTAAACGTTGGCAACCAAGAATTCAGTCTTGAACACATTGAAAGATTTTGCCTGTGTGCTAACGTAACTAAAGACTGCGTTCTGCTGACCTGTAAGGTGTGTCCAAAACATATGGTTTAACACTAGAATTGTCGCCAATAAACGCAGACGAACAAATCGAAGTAGCTCTTTGGGAATCTAGCGAACTGATAAAGAAACAGATTGGTAGTAACGCATTTCGCAATGAGCTCAGAAAGTGTGAAACAAAACACTTCCCCCATTCTTTCATTCGACATACTCAGCGGTTTGCTCTAAGCTCAAAAAAATGCATTTCAAGACTCATGCTATTTTGATTTTGGGGAAAACTGTAGCGTAGTTCTTCCGCGAGCGGGGCAATACTTTCATTAGGAGGGATTTATTGTGTATATTTTCACCTGCGTCGCTACAACGAGCGCAAAATCCACAGCTTAGAAGTTGTGAGAGACGACATCGCGCAGAATACGGCACACGCATTGTTCGCTCTGCGCAAAGTTGACGAGTGGCTGGAAGAAAACATTTCGATATTTACAGAAATTATCCACAACTCCTACGTAGAGGCTAGTCATTTCAAAACTAGGTTTTTAATGTACTAAATGGCGAAAATACAAGAGGTGACACAATTAATTTCTTAAGCTACGGGACACAGCAAAAGTACGTGTAATGGCGTGGGGACAGTCCTCAAGTGCCAATCCCCTTCCAGAACATCACGTCATCAAAACTGGAAAAATTTGGAAGTGGTGATGATTTTTCTCGTGTAGTGGCCCCGAAAGCGCCTAGAATTGTACTCCTCAAAAGCGAAGCAGCAGGCATCGCTTAATACGGCGACACATTAAGAAAGAATGGGATTGGCTACTTCTGGATGGAGTTTGGCTACTTCTGGATGGAGGCTCAAAATAGAGACGGGTCTTTCGGCGTTGTGATAAGAAATAAAAAAGTGAATCCACAAGAGTAAGGTTAGCCACATTTAAAATGACATTTTCTTTTAACACTATAAATGTTACTGTGAGCTTATCATACTAAAACTTCGATGTATATTTATGAATTTCCCACGTTTATCTCTATAATCTCTGACAGCCTCAAATAACAAAAAGTCAAGAAGTTTTTTCAAGCCTCGCCAGCATACATAGAAATGCGGTCAGATGAAAGAAGCAAAATTTCGCACTCGGCCCGCTAGGCTTCTGAAAATAATTTACCTCGCCCCTTCATTGCATGACAAAGTTTTGTGAAACTTAATTTTTATGTTGTTAAATAGAAAAAAAGACGTTTCAATAAGTTTATTTAAATAAAAGTTGTGGATCTTAAGATTTGATGTAAACTGGACATGTGTATGCATTTCTTTTTTTTAATTATGTCATACCAGTATTCCCCAGTTTTACTAAATGTTACTTAATGTATATCGCTAATACTATGGCCACCGTTAAACGCATATAAATATATATATATATATATATAATTACGTAACAGGCTTGGCCATGGCCAATATCGTTTTATTTTTGAATGGAAGTAAAAATATACTTTTTAAACGCATTGCTTAATATGCCGAAACCATATATGTCAAAGAAATGTTAATGCATCTATAAAACACATAAAAAGCTTTATATATATAAAAATAAAAATAATATTACATTACATTTTGTATTTTTAGCATTCAATTGATGTTTACAGTGTTGTTTATCCCATTTAAACTACACCTAAATCAACAGATTCGTGAATTGGCTTAGATCCAAGGTTTCATTTCATATGTATTTACATGATTTAAGTAATAGTAGATGGAAAGCTAGATCGATTCAAACGCTGCCTATTATGATGAAAAGTGCAAGATTCACTAATTTTTATTTTATACAATAAAATAGGAAAAACAGACTTCCAGAGTACTTAAACCTTCTATAGGAAGAGATAAAGAAGTAAAAAAGTATCAAGTTAAAAAAGTGGAAATATTTCGACACTCCAAGTGGTGTCGCTCGTGGAAACTGCAAAGATCACAAGACTGCAAAAATATTTTTTCTAAAAGTATCTTAGTTATAATTCGCAGTTCGATTCTAGCCCTATATTTTACATCAACATTTTTTTGTTTTTTTAGGACCCATAATTTTTTTGCACGATTTGAGATGAAATTACCCAGTAATTGAATTGGCAGCTGTCTATCGAATGCAGTTCACGACATCACTATTAATAATACCTCTCCCATTTAATTTAGTAGAAACTTTATTTATCAATGAAATAGTCATGTTTAAGTTAAAGGCATTCGAAAGGCATTTCGGTGATGAAATTAATTTTTCAATGTCATTAGGAAATATAGGCCAACTTGATATACACGCCAATTGCTAGAGTTCTTGAACTTCATTTAAAATATTTGAATAAAAACGTTTTTGTCGACGTTAACAAATGTTAGATATGACACTTTAACATTTGATAATATAAGCGACGAACAATTTTTGCAAAACTTAGTTGTAAAAGCGCTTGCTTTTCTTGTAGCTTTCTCTCTAAATTTGGTTGCTGAAATCTGTTCGTCATGAATTTTAAAAGTAAGTCCAAAAGCATTTATTGCGTTTTGCGCAAATTAGTAATATATCTGGTAAATTTTCAATACGCAAAAGAAGCTATTCAAGCCCGTAACTTAAAAATCGAAGCATATAAACCTATATTTTATGTACAAATGAGATATTAAAACACTATATTTTTATTTTATTTTTTTATGTACGTCAACTAAATATGTATTACATCTGTTTTCTGGTACTTCAGTAGTTTGTATTACAACTAGAAAATACAAAATAAGGTATTTGATTTTCACCTTAGACGTTATGCCTTGTGCTTGTACGATCATTTACCACACACAATTTCACATTCTGGGGTATTCTAGGGCTATTTTGCATCTGCTAATTACTTTGCTGTAGAACCACAGCCTATCTTTAACTATCTCACGCGTATTAAAGTGTAATGCTAACTCACCTTCCTCCTGCGCGTTCACAGGCTCACTGAAATTATAAAATGCTCATTAGTTTTTGCGGAAGAAAACTACGTGGCTCATTAAAATATACAAATATTAAGCTATTCAAATATTAAAAGAAATGCAAGTCTACTCACGCCACCCGGCCATCTGCGAAAGTAACACAAAAAAGTATCCGTAAGTAATGTAAAAGCATAAATTACTTTTAGCATTAGAGAGACTTGCTGTGTTATTCACAGATGACGGCCGCAATGGCCAGAAGAAGCACGGGCACGAAGATTTGCATGGTGGCTGTATTAGGAAGTCCTCGATGAATTCAACATCAAATGAAACATCACAAGTATTGCCTTTTACATCCGAGTTATGTAACTATGTAATCGTTTTAAAATGATTACCTACAACAGCAAATGTCGTGTGCTACTTATCATTGGTAAGATATCCTTAAATGGTGAGTACGAACTAAACCTGCCTTATGCATCTGTCGAAGTTTGTAGGATGGCGTATTCACAGAGACTAAAATGTGTATTGAGAGCAACGTTCTTGACTGGAGATGAATGTTTTGATAAATATAACTGCTCAGGTCTAAAAACTAACGGTGTGCTAGTGCGCATTACCTCGCATTATATAATGAACAAGTTAACTCTAACCGGCTGCTTAGGCGACGCGATGTTGTAGTTGAGCCTATGTAGGATATTTCTACCGACTTCTTTTGTTGACCCTCTTCAGTAGAATTTTGGATTCAATATATTTTGGCAGCTGTGATATTTGTTGTCGTGTACTCTTTTTACTTAATAGATAAATGATTACCCTCGTTCTCAAAAATTATTCTTGAACCTACATATTTAAATCTATACCGAGACAGTCAATATTTAAACACCGTACATATTATTATCAGACTCCGGTAAAAGATTTATTGCGTAGATAATAATATTAAGAACACTTCTTTGGCAGGTGAACAATAACCAAAATTATGTAGAATTCTATCAAACTTCTTTGCGCAATAAAGTCACCCGTGAAGATTTTCATGAATGTTCTTATTTTAAAAAAAGGGGCTGCAACGCACCAAAATATTCTTAAATTCACTGTTATGTATAATGAAAAGAATTGAAGAGAACGCACGAAAATAATGCAGCTTCTTTAAATGTTGTTTCAAAACGGTATATTGAAATCGAGATTTCGACTCACCTGAAATAAGGACTTAGACACTGTTGTGTATACGTTCTGCTTGGTGAGTTTCCTTTATACCCTTAAATCCGAGTAAAATAGTAAATGGAAAATCCAACATCTAGATAAGTTATCACTCGGCAGATACCATAGCTACCTAAAAGTTTTTTTGTTTGTTTTTCCGTCTGCCCGCATATCAGGAGATGACTCTTCTTATCTTTAACATGTATGTCTCTCCACTTTTTGTATTGGAAATACCAGCAACTGAGACAATTTGTTGTGAAAACCCAAAGCCGGGCATGAACTATAGAACTACAGACGTACAAATGCACGTGAGTACCCAGGAGTTGCAGGCGAGACCGATAAAATCATTCTGTAATGGAAATTCTTGTCTGATGCCAGATTGCTTACACGACGGAGCACGATAAACTGTTGTATCAATGCTTCTGTCAACCGCCCATATCGCTGGTTAAATACTAAATTGCCTTCACATTGGCATATATACACGCAGAAGATATTTATAAATGCATATATTACAGAGGTATTTTCGAATTGGTTTAATACTGAAATGTTTAAGACATAGATATAACTAAAATGTAAGTAGTTTACTAATAACTGAAATCAACAAAATTTACATAAAACTGAAACGTTTGAAATGTACGTTATATAGTAACACTGAATTAACATTCAAATATTCTTAGATGCGCCATGTTGAAATTGCTTGTGTACACGTTCTTCGCGTAGCTATAGATGTACTAGATCGTTATCAGCAGTGAACTGGATACTTTATTGGCTTTCATAAAACTCTAACTTAAGCCAATGTTGCTAGCTTTCCTTTCTTATAACAAGTGTTCGCAATTGTTTTCCTAATATTCACTCTATATTGTTCTACCACTCAAGAATACACTATCTATGGAACAAGATGTTTCAATATTGTATGACTGCGAATAAGCAGAATATTTTTATTCGTGCGCTGTGCTCATTTCAGGCTCTTTAGATGTAGCAAACCTGCGTTGGATATGGGTCTATTAAAACAAGGGCCTACTAGGCAATGCAGGGCAAAAACATAATTAAACAAATTGGGCAATTTGTCTCAATATAAGCAAAGTGTTTTTATACTCCTAATGATACAACTAATATTAAAGGCAGGTTCAATTGGTTGGTTCGTATTTTTATTAGGCATCAATAACAATACATCAAAATTTTGTACTAGACGCTAGCCATATACTAGGTGTAGTAATAATACTAGTAATGCATCCGGTATAGGAATGTATAGCAGTACCTTATGTACGTTTCAACGTTTTTATAATACTACAGAATTAATACAACAGAATTCTCGTCCAAAATGTAAACTTTTGAACGAGAGTATATGCTGCCGTTCTTCCTTTCGTTTAGATGTTACTTCACCCCTTGGAACGCGTTATCTGCATAGCGTACTGAATAGAGTAGTAAACCAAACGAAAAACGAGAACTCAGTTACGAAAATGCGCGGAGGTCTGCAACGCCGTCCATGATGTATCTATGTTTTATTGTTTTTTCTTTAGTACAAACGTTACTACAGACGTGAATCTGTATACCTCAAAGCTGGCTCCATACCATATTTCGTTTCCAATCGCAGCTGACGCTACAAGCTGGCGCAGCCAACTGAGCAACGCCAAATGTTTGCAGTCACCACGCTCCTCGTCTTTGTGCGTTTGACATCGTGGAATAATCCGGTGAAGCGTAATGAATGCGCTGTCATCCTGCGCTTTCTTGTTTGTGATTGGTCTAGCCCGTGATGGCAACACCACAAAGACACCAAGCGCCGTGACGTTGCACTTTTGGGCCGGATTGATTGGAACAATCGGATTGTAGCATCAACCTCGGTCGGCTTTAATGTAAGGTGTGTCTCTACCTCCCCCCCCCCCCCCCCAAAAAAAAAAAAATGAAGTTTTCTCTTTATCCGCGAAGTGAAACTATGCATGGCCGAACGCTCATTCGCCGCCGAAATGTAGCGCTGGCAGTCCGAACCAGACGCCAAATTTTCAGCATGAGCACATATATCTTCATCCAAGGATACAAGTCATTTTCCGAAAATTTCAACGTGAAATAGGGCCCATTTTTTTCTGTTTTCGGTTGCCGGCTCGAAATAGGGCTCCATGTAATCGAGAATTCTATTTGCCGATATGTTCTCAAAATAATTCTAAGAAAATCACTTAGTGCTAATAAATAAAGAATTGGTTATTGCGATCATAAATGAGTTGCTTAAATTTGCAAACAAAATAACTAAAAATCTTGTAGAGTTTATTTTTTTTCTTGCCGGAAGGGCCGGGGGGGGGGGGGCGGCGAAGGGACAGTGTATAGAGTGTTGTCCCGCTAAGCGTTGCCTGTAGTGAAGATACCAGTCGGAAGCAGGGGTGTATCTTAATGTCTATCCTCCCTAAAACATGAATATTTCAAGCTCATGTTCAGTGAGGAGGCGAGCGAGCACGCGACCTATGTAGAGTTGCTTGCTCTTTTCTCTTGTTTTATTAGACCGCTTATTTCTTATACACGTATTATAATAAAAATAGAAAATTCAGTTAAAACCTTAATAATTATGAGTAATCCTCAAATGTACCGTTGATAAAGGGCAATGTGACTAATAAATATTCAATAAACAAGGCGCTTAACCTTCGGGTCTAACGATTATTTGCTGTCTGTGAAGCACAGGCATGAGTATTGCGAGCCTCTTGTTGCCGGCATAATCTAGGCACTTCATTTTAGTTAGAAACATTAAGGGCTAATATTTTGTTGAGTATATATATATATATATGTATATATAAAATCTCAATGCTGCATAGACAGTATCACGTAGTTTATTCACCTTATTATTTATGCACTCACTTCCCTATTACTTATCGAACTGATAGAAGTAGTGAGCATGTGCGCGGTTTTTCCGACTTTATTAGACCGGGTATTGTCCCAAGAAGTAACCGAATTGATACGTGTATCGGAGTTTTTGTGATAGGAAGTAGGCGAATGCTGCATCCTCCGAAAGGTCTTCATTCTAAAGATAATGTACCCATGATCTATAGAGATATCCGACGGATTGTTTCTGCTGGTCCTTAAGCGGTGCGACTGCATGTATATATAAGGAAAGAAAAGTTGTACATGATCAGTGCCATCTCCAACAATCCCGAGGTAAGTCGTTTCACATGCAAGACTATTTTCTCTTTAAAAGGTTGAACCTGCAACTGTTGATTTAAAAGTGCAGCATATGATTTTATTGACTTAAGAATCAAAAACTTTCCAACTATCTTTTGAAATATGTAAATGAATGCACAAATTTTTCTCCTCCAACGGTCTAACTAACAGCTGTAAATATATATATATATATTTGTTAAGATGGAGTCGAGTAGACAGAGCGAGATGTCATATTTTAAATTACCTTCTTCAATGTTGAGCTCAACCTCCCTTTTTATTTGATATACCTGGAACACTGTATTTTGTAAAGATAATAGATTGATGGGCTTCTCCCACCACAGGTGAGACCGAAGCGCGCATTTCTACTGATATCTGCCTTTGCGTAAACACCGCGTTTAACTTAAGAATCACCACCTTTTGCTCATAAGAACCCACTTTTTTGGCAGCGGCATCAAAATGAGGTACTCTACCCCACTCCTGTTACTTGCTTTTTCAGCTTTGGCATGTGAGTAATAATGCTAACACTCAACTTTTTAACCCTTTTTCACAATGATCACAAAGCACACCTCACAAAACGCTTCTTAAGAATGGTTTCTAACAAAATCAAATAAAGTATTTGCTTTAGCGCGCCCTAGGATTTACAAACATTATTTAAATCATCTGCGCAGATACGGGAACTACAGCTCTCTCTCTCATGGAATCAGATTTTGCTACTCTAAGAGATTTGCGCTATTATCAACACCTGTTTCTTAAATAACAACATATCGATCTACCTACACTCACTTTTTTCTGTAAACTACTATGTTGTAGCTTAAATATTTATGTTTAATGAAATTCTTTGCGGTAGACCTCTTATCAGTGAATATTCGTTACCAGAAGAAATACCAAATACATTATTGAAATAATCTAAACTTATTCGTTTCTTTTCCTTCCTTCATTTAACTTAATATGCTTCCGACTCCGGTTACTATACTAACCAACAACGTCTCAAGAACTCCGTATATCAACATAAGTGTGCATCTTTAGTTTGTATTGTGATATATAATATTAAGGCTGTTGAAAACAGCTGTACGCTCAATGCAGGTGAACTTTTTACTTAGTACAATATTTCACGTTTTTGCTTCCTTTCTTAATTTTAATTTACATGCTTACCGTTTTATTTAAAACTAACAGGCGCATTGTTTGGAAAACCTTGCTAACTCCTTTGATTTGAAATAAAATAATACCGTCGAAGTGCCAACATAACAATCATTAAGATTATTGCATTTTCTTTCTTCTTTTTGTTGTTGCAGATGCTGCCTCTGTGTAAGTATAGCGAAATTATATATCAGAACGTCTTACGCACAATTCGGAAGTGCAACTAAATTAAATTTGGCAAAACGGGGAATTCTATGTGATTATATTCCTTTTTCAGCGAAAAGGTGAAAGAAACCGACAAGAACTCTGTCACTGAAGAAGGTAAGAACCCATCTCTGCTTGTCCGAAATGAAGCACGGGCAGAGTTCTTTATTTGTACATTGCGTTTTAATCAATTGTAGATTAAGATAACATTGAAAGTGGTGGTAGTTATTTTACAGTATTATGGTGTAAATAATCTGATATATGTGCCATGAAGGAATCACCAGGTATTTATAACTATTATACTATTGTAGCGAAGATTAACGCACATATGCTTTACCTATGTGAATACGTTACTGAGCGGCACATATACTAGTCGGTATAAGTAAGGAACACTAAACGAGTCATTTATCAAAAAACTGAGTTAGGCAAGGCTATCTGTGAATGTAAACATTCGGGATAATTGCCGAACGTAAGTTGTTTGGTAACGCGCAATTACTTTAATCAACAGTTCTTTCTTCTTTTTTTTTCAACAAGACACACATTTACATTTTCCTAATCCCTCATATGTTTAATTGATATATGAAACATCTCGTACATATGAGCAAAATAACTTCGGCGTTATAACTTGGACAGAAGCGATCTAATGCTAGTTTCGGCAACGTCCTTTCTATCAGTTTAAGAGTAAAATGATCCGTCTCATTTCTTAAACGATACGCACATTGTCGTTAACAATGTTATTAAAAAGACTGGCATATATACAGAAAAAATAACCGTGTTCGGATCCACATGTTTATTCATTCTTATTTGTACAGTCTTGAAAACTGCTTCGCACTGTTGCGGAGCCGGAATAAAATGCCGAGCAAATTAATGTATTTACTGTACGCCTACCAAAACATAGCGAGACCGCATCTTCTTGCCTAGTGAATTCCCCTACCTTAGGTTTCATAACGTAGGTAGAAGGAATGGATATCGACTTGCACGCAATGAAAGTCCATTATTATCCTCGTTCATTTGTAGCTAGCAGCATGGGAAAACCCTATTTCGACAAAGGACAAAAAGAAGCGCACAGTCACAGCGCAGTGTTTGTTCACTTATTGTATCTTGTCCTTCGCCAAGTTGTGATATTCCCACCTTAAATGATGTTAAACAAGCTCGCCCAGTTTTCTGCATTGTTGAATTTAATTTAGCTTGATTTTAGTAGTCTAACTACTAGCTGAAAAAATATTAGGGCAAATATTATTCCGTTTAGAGCTGCTTATGTGGAATATGTTTTTAAGCTACTTATTTGAAATAATATTTGATTTTAACCCTTGTTTTTAGATGATGAATATGCGTGGAGAGTAAGAGTGGGAAAAACGCTTGAGAAAGTAGGGAGATGGCTACAAGGCAAAGACTCGGCTGTGACTGAGGAAGAAGAGAAGGAGTTCGCATTGCTGAATGCTGAGCTGAAAGAACTGGCGGCCGGCGTGGCCGAGGAAGTTGCCCAAGAAACAGGAAGTGTTGATGAATACGACGACGAAGCAGCTGCTTACGGCTGGGCGAAGTGGAGGAACAAGATTACCGGTGCAGCCAAGAAGGTCGCCAAGGCTGTTATAATCAACAAGGTCGGCGGCATTGTCGCCGGTGGACTCGGCTAGTTACACATGACACTGTATACTAGTGCGCCTTCGGGCATGTATTTTTGCAACAAAATAAATTAGTAAAAAAGTTTGAATCACTTTTTGTTGTGATATTAACTTGATGCAGTGTTATTTCAACAAAACATTTTTTAACGTCACCTTCACAAAGCAGCTAGGCGCATATTTTGAACAATTCCTGAATTCTAAACTACATTTTTAGCGTAACCTATATCAGAGATGGTCTGTTGTGAGATACTTTTTATCAGGGTGTCGAACCGAACCCGAACCCGAACCCGAATCCGAATCCAAACCGAAAACGGGATCAAAATCTTTATTTTTGACCGAACTGGAACAAACCCGAAACCGAAATCGAACGCTTCATATTGAACCCGAACCGGAACGAAACCATAATTTGATGTGGCGGTTACCGGTTCAACGAAAACGGTTCAGGGCCAATTGTGTCAATAATTGGTCTAAATAATAAGAGTTGCAGGCGTATATTTTTCTTATGTTGCCAAGACTAACCCTACATACTGTGAGATATTTCTACATTTCGTTTTTATTGCATACGTAATAAAAAAATACATCATCGTCGGGAGAGCTTCAACTTTCCTTTGTTTCTTGGATCGGCCCTGGAGGCGTGGTAGCAGCGGCGGCGATTTCAAAGCACCGCTTGGCCGCTTGGCTAAGAAATGTCCAAGTGTCGGAGCGGAATGCGACCGCGAATGTTTAACCTCAGGATGGACCGCAGTTGCAGTCGAGGAGCCATTTAGCCAATCGAGCACCGAGAGCGCACCACGTGACCTTCCGCTTGAGTGCAGCGACAGCCTGGAGGAAGGGGGGACAAGTACCGAGCTCGCCCCCCCCCCCCCCCCCCGAAATCTTTCATTTTACTTGGACCTCCTCTCCCCCCCCCCCCCCCCCCCCGAAACAAAATCCTGACTACGTGCCTGGCCTTGCCACATTAGTGGTGTCTTTTGCGCAGGTCACTGAGCAGAGTTTTCATATCTGCTTGAAGAGCGAGTATCAACGTTGTATTGGGCTGGGGGGTCTATTGCAAGCATCTCGAGCTCAGAAAAGGCTGCAGGAAGTGCTCGGTCAATGGTCAAAGGCCGAGTTAGGAACCGGTTCGACCGGTTCGCGCTTATCAAAACCGGTAACCGGAGTGATATTATGTGCGCTACCCTAAACCGGAACCGAACCGTAACAAAATACAATGCTACTGAACCCGAACCCGAACCGAACCGAAATAATGACCGGTTCGACACCCTGCTTTTTATTTATTTTATATTATGCTGAACTATAAAATATAAAATCTGTAAGTTTTTATTTGGTTAATTGTTTATGTATAGATATACAGTTGTTGAGTTTTCTTTATTTGTAAACTGCTGGTGTGAGTATAGCTCGCAGATAAGAGGAATCGATAGAGTTCAATTAAGTCACAAAAAACTTTTTTTTTGGAAAAATGATTTAGTAAAAATAAAAAAGTTCTCCCAACATTTTTTTTGCAAGGCTTATTCTTAGCGGAAGAGGGACAAGCTAGTCGCGACCTGTCACACATTTGTAAATATTTCGTGGAAAATAATAAAAAAGTCAACTTAATAAAATTCATTTTTGGCCACAAAAAGTCTCGCAGGAACCCCTGCTGTGAAATATTGGGTAAATGTTTGAACACACGATGCGCGCAGAGTCGCACGAGTTGGCTATGTTACTTTTGCATTTATGAAGTTGCAGTTTGTTTAATATTAAACAATTCAGTATATGTTTTCCGCTAGCTTTTTGTCGTTAATATGGGACCTTTCAGACACTTTCGATGAACTCTTTTTTAAAAGGTTCAATCTCTATGCTAATTTTGTATATGCAGCTTGAATCACGACGTAAACATCGGGACAACAGAAATGCCCCCCCCCCCCCCTCTTTGTGAGATTACGGTAATACCCCAAACTCCCAAAATGTTAATTAAAAGAAACCCGTTGTTGTCTTACAAATATTCCGCATGCGAGCAAAAGAAGGGAAGAATGGTGGTATGCTGCTTCTCAGGTCCTGGTACCACATTGAGCGAAAAATATTGTAAAAACAGGGGGTTGAAAGGGGTAAAAATTAAATAAAAGCTTGTACTGCCGGGATGTACATTGGAAAATAGAAGTATCTCCTTCCATCAAACAGTCCTTTGTGCATGATAGGAAAATCCATGGTTTATTCAACAGAAGTACTGAGAAGGTGACGGTTGGGTATTTTGTGACAAGCTAAAAAAAAGGTTTTCTCCATTAAGATATCGCGAGTCTTTTGTTCGCTGGTCATATATGTGCATAAAGATAACGCTTTAATGTATGGCAACACCAAGCGTTCGTGACGCAGATAATGAAACTTTATCGGGGGAAGTCCGGACGCCTGTTTCTTTTCTCCAGCATAAACGACTGTGCATAAATTTGAGACGTCCTGTTTCAAGCAAACCACTTTTGTGCAGGAAATATTCCAGGTGAGTGCTGCATTGAGCGGTTGTGCTAAATATCTAACCTAAACCAACAGTTTTATTAAAAGTATTATTATTGACTTAGTGGCCAGAACAGACTGTAATATGTTTCGGCGCTTTATTGATATATTAAAATTTGTATGCCTTCACCTAAACAAGCTCATAATATTGGCGCAGTTATGCTGTTTCGTTATACAGTAAAGGAAATGCTTTAAAATCTTAAAAAATGTTACATCCTTATAGAAACGCAACATGGAGGAGAAGCAAAACATGACGACTGAAGAAACTCAGAGCTCGATGATAGGATTTTTCAATTTCAGAAGTAAATACAGTTGCTTTTATGCTTTTATTGGTTCTTTATATTGTTTTGAACCTGTCCCTCATGCTTTAATAGAAAGCCTCAAAATATACTAAAAAAAAATCAAAATATTGACAGCCTTAAAACTTTGGACGTTTAACTTCATTCCTATTAGTTGTTAGTAGAAGTATCTTACGTTCACTCATATTTTATTCTTTACTGATTCAGACACGCCAAGATGAAGCTGTCTCTCCCACTGTTGCTGCTAGCTTTTTCGGTACTGGCATGTGAGTGTTTTGTTTTAAGGCAACTTTAAATACACATTTTAATTTTGTCTTTTATTCGTCTCTTCGTGAAAGGGTATCATACTAATATTATTGGAGAACGCTAGACTAGGTTAATCACAGGGTCCCCGAAATATGATTTCAGTGGTACTTTGAAGGCCTCTAATTTATTAATCCCTCTGCTCGTTCACAGCACACATGAACGTAAAAGACGCGACGGTATGAAGTGTGTGCTTTGAAAAATAAAGTACGATGTAATATAGTGTTAAAATGTACTTTATAATTTCTAGAAGGCAACCGTGTACACTATGTGGCAGATCAAGGGCTTGTAGGTTATTTTCACAGATATATTAATTTGATAAAATACGCATGACCTCAGCGCGAAATTCCGTTCTTAGTTTTTGACAAATGCTAATCAAACTTAAAGCGTTAGAAACTAATTGTATATTCAACACTAAATCTCCTTAAATTCTTGAGAGCTATTACATTTGGAAACACTAAAGACTTGCTTAAAATTAAAAATTAAACTAAGTTTACGTCCTCCGGTTTTCAAAATTTATATTTCTTATTTTTAATGCATGACATATATTTTATTTTCAACTCCCACAAAGTAACACTTCCGTTTACATATGCGAGATACATATGGAGAGTATGTGTCGCTTACAATGTTTTTCTTCCTCTTTTATGCCGAACAGTTGGTGCCATAATGTAAGTCCAAGCGTTTTCTGTATTGATCACTTAATGCTGTTTTGATATCAAAATTAACCTTGCTGTTCTGACATACATTTTATATTTATGTTACAGCGAAAAAGTTGAAGATCGTGACACAAACCGTGTAACTGAAGAAGGTGCGTAAACGGTCGAATGCTTTCGTAACAAGGTCGTGATACATGCACAATTGTCTCAGGATAAAGCGCAACTGAATTATATTTAAACAAGCAGTGAAAGCTACACTAGTGAGGTTTGTGCAGGTCAGTTATACGGAAGCGGGACAGTATTGGGGCTAACTGTAAAAGTCAGTCGGGAAATTAACTAAACTATTGTTACTAATGCATACTTTTTTTAAAAACAAGCCCAGGGTTCTCATTAAAAACGTGCTGAGCGTCGTCGCCAACCACTAAATCAATTGGTATTAGAAAGACTTGGAACACGTGGAAAGCCCGGTGGAGCGCTAATGATACCAATCCTGGAGCAGGAGCAAGTTTACCAGAGCGATAACACGCCCGCGCGGTTTTTCCGTCTTATCAGTGCACCAACCTCTTTTCCCTTGCAGGAATGGTAACTTTATCACATTACTAAGATTCTCACGCGCACAAGTCTATTTAAATATACTCAATTAGTGATTCTCTATGACGCGCAGGAAATACATAATTCGCAGTATATGGTTGATTTTCACTAACTAAAATATTAATTTAAAAACAAACGGTTTTCGCTCTCGAATTATTGTGACAGTTAGCCCCTATATATTGCGTCCCACTGATTGTGAAACTCAGCTGTGAAACCGCATTATTGTAGCTTTCACTTTTTGCACAAGTTTGTTAAGCTTTAAAAAAAATCATTCTGATAGATTCGTTATTATTTTATTATTTATTCTTCTAGTGCAAGTGAGTTATACCGCCGGGAGACAGTATAGGGTTTAATTGTAACAATCAGTCGGCTAATTAACTAAAATATTGTAATTTACACTTTATTATAAAAAGGAAACACATGGCTTATTCAGAACCTTGCTCAGTATCATCTAAAACCAATAAATCAATCGATATTGGAGAGACTTGGAGCACGTGGAAAGCACAGTGGAGTACTTCTGTTATCATTCTTGGAGCAGGAGCAAAGCTACTGGTACGATAACACGCCCTCGCGCTTTTTCCTTCTCTTATCATAACTCCAGCCATGTGCCCTTGCCCGAATGGTAACTTTATCACACTACTGCGCTTCTCGCGTGCTCAGTCTATTCAAATATACTCATTTGGTGATTCTTGATGACGCTCAGGACATTTATAATTTGCAGACTATGATTGATCTTGAAAAACTAAGAAGTTAATTAATAAACTTTAGTTTAATATAACAATTATCTTGACATTAGCCCTGCGTGTTATGCCACTCTGACCGTAAAACTCACCTGAACAAACCGCATTATTGTAGCTTTTACTTTTCTAAACATGTCTGTCAAGCTTAAAAGAAAACATTCCGTATATTCGCAATTCTTTTGATTTGTTTTACCTTCGAGTGCTAGAATGATTTATTAAATTTATGCCTCGATCGAGGTGTTCTAACTTACTTCAATGTATCTAAAAATGTGCGGTACACAACTTGTTTTATATCTAAATTTAAACAAAATATTCTGAGATTGTGGAGCTAGGTCTATTACGGTATATTTACAAAGCAAAGTGTATCGTTCACTCAAAAACGGCTGTAGTAATAGAATTAAAATGTTCATATTTTGTAAGGAGCATAATGCTACAATGTTAACTTTAAACGAAAGTAATCAACAACATACGCTTTTGTTATTTTCTTGTTCATTATTTATTTATTGAATATAAAATATTATCTAGTCCAATCGTGTATGGAAGTGGCGAACAAGATTAGTGCATTGCTTGTGTGCTTGCGTCATTATTGAATTTCTTACAGTTTTGAAACTTACAATCGAACCAACTTTGGAGACTTTATAAATAATTCAACAGTAGACAAAAAAAGAAAGAAGTGCAAATTGTTTAGCTATCTGCTGAATAATGTTTTTTGTTCCATATATTATATGTATAATAAATATTGTCAGAGGTGGTGACAAAAAAAAAACAATAAAAAAGCAGGAAGAAATAAATGTTTAATATGGAACTTGTGCCAAAAATCAAAGGGTACAAACTATAATAACAGAGCGTCGCGGGCGTCGAACCCGGCGAAACCGCAGGATCGAGGGCTGGGGGGCGAGACTGGCTCCGGCATGCCACGGGGAGCTCCTTTTGTTCACGTGTGGGCTTCTGGAACATTTGGCCTAGAACATTCTGCTCGCAGAACATAAGTAACTAGATCGGACGGAAGGTTCTCAAACTTATGAGAACGCCACGTAGAAAGAATTAGTAAAAGAAGATTCCGCTCCCTGGAATCGAACCCAGATCCTTCGCGCAAGAGTCAAGCACGCTAACCACTCGGCCACGCACGCGCTCGCTCCGCAGCGCGCGTGGCAATAATATAGGTATTACTATTAATATTACAGGAACTATATCACGGTAAATAGCGTGATTGCTGGCTTAGTTGTGAACGGCTAACGATGCATACGATTTTATAATCTGTAATAAACATAAACCTAAAGTGGTTATGTTTAAGGCAGGGGTTTGAGATATAAATTCATATATAATTTATTCGAAAACAGCAAGTCTCATTTGAGAATCCACATTCTACGTCCTTAGATGCTTACGTGTCCTTTGCAAGTCGAGATCTGTGCTGCGACCGAAATGACACTTTTCTGCTTTACGTTGAGATTTGTTCAATACAAAATTTTCGTGTGTTGCAGCAATGGTTTTTAGACTCGCTCATTGCCCTGAATTTAAATAAAGGTTTTGCGGCGGAATATTAAACAGTGACAAGTGTTGTGTTGTAGCCATTGACAGCTTATAAAAATGCAGAGCATAGCGAGTTCAGAACATTTGAATTTTTGTTCAGCTGCTAGAGATTTCCGGAACAGCCGGTAAGAGTGCCGTAGGACAAATTCGAAACAAGTAGCGTAAACATAATAATACTAATACGTAATAATAATAAAACTCTTCTTCTTAAGCTGTTGGTAATTATCGTGCACAATCATGCTTTATCAAGAAGCGAATATAAAACGTACTATTTGCGATCGTGCTTCTCCTTGACGTGCAGGTGAGGAAGACCTCTGGAAGCAGGACGTGGGCAGAGACCTCGAGAAAGTCGGTCAGTGGCTACAGGGAAGATACGCAGCAAAGACCGAAGAAGAGCGCGAAGAGCTCGAAACGCTGAATGCTCGTCTGAAGGAACTGGCGGCAGACGTTGCCGAAGAAGTCTACGGAAAGGACAGGCACGAAGGCGACGGAGAAGCTGCCGCTTATGGATGGGGCAAATGGAGGAGGAGGATCACCGGAGCTTTCAAGAAGGTCGCTCAGGCCGTCGTGATCAACAAAGTAGCCGGTGCCGTCGGCGGTGCCATCGGCTAAGTTTGAGATGGTGGGACGGCAGGCATTTTTGCTTCCCTAAAAGATTTGACGGCGTCAAAAATAAATTGATTCGATGCAAACACTGACTCATGGGTATTTTGCGGGTAGTGGGGCGGCATTTTAATTATTTCTTCAGTGAATAACAAGGCTACTGTTGCTAATAACTTCAGAAATACAGGAAGTGGCTTAATCTGCTTCCGCGTTTAGCCTTGTGATTCCCTCCTCAGCGTTCTTATTTGCAAATTCGGCTGCACCATTAGCTACAGTGTGATAGCAAGATGTTTTGAAAAACGCCATGCCTTGAGTTTCTTAAAATATCAGTGACTATAAAAAAAAGAACAAAACAAAATAAACTTCCCGACTTTGGTGATTGCATTTTAAGTAAAGTTTCGGAAATAGAAATAGTTAAGTGACTTGAAAGATTATAAATTGCGTTAGAATTGTAGAAACGAGGTCTCTTCTTGCGATCGTCTTAAAGCTGTACTCATACCATAAACTGAAAACGAGTCTCAGCAATGAAAATTCGCAAGTGTAGACATTTTCCTTTTTTTTTTTTTACAGAATTCTAGAGGGGCATTTATTAAGCACGTAACCAGCATAATTTAAAAAGAAATTTTAAAATTACCTTCGGGAGTTTTTACTCTTATATGAGCACCGAAGGAATTGGATATAAAACCTTATCGACTTACGAGAGTACATTAAACACATTTTGTGTAGATGTAAAGATGCAAAAACTAGGCATCTGAAAGGCCTGTGTTTTTTCAGCTTAGGCACCGCAGGATTTTCCCTACATCATGCAGAAGAGTTATACTTATCACGTGTACCCGAGGTAATATAGGCATACGCTGCTAGACACGGGATATTATATCAAAGATAACAAATCAATTTCGTAGAAACTTATCAAGCTGTTATTTTCCGGACTAACAATTATGTAGAAAATGAAAGGCAATGCGGGCAATGAGCACTTTTTCTGAGGTTCACTCTAGGTAAGTCTCTTAGAACCGCCATATTTGTCACTATATTAATCTTATGGTGTCTGTTTCAATATTATTATTAACACTTCTTTTAGCTTAAAGTGTAAGTAAGTAAAACCGCCATAACAATACTGCATAAAAAGCCTGCTGCAAAGGTATTCTTTAAAAATATGTACTTTGGATGATATATCAAGAATGATTTCGAGTTTTCTATACAGTCGTGATTTCCTCGAAGGAGACATGTTGAGCTATAAAAAGAAAAAAAAGGTAATAGCACGTTTTTATTATTTATGAACCTTCAATAATTGATTTGAAAGAAATACGAGAAAATATAATGATGTTTGCTATGATGAAGAAGTAAGGAACCACAACTGAATATTTCGATCTTATTTTACTCTCTTAAACTCGATTTAATGCGCAAATTTTCTCAACAGCGCAGCATTATGGAAATGAAGCTATATCCCATACAAAAATGGTCTATGGACGTCTATGGAAAATCCTATGGTGAGCTATCACCTTCTATGGCCCTCTATGGTCAGCCATAAGAAACCATAAAACACGCTATAGCCACCTATAGAAAAATGTATGTCTTCAAAGCTTTAGAATCTCGACCATTCCGATTTCTATACCTGGCTATAGAATAATTTATGACTACGCAGCTATAGACTCGCGACTATTCAATATTCTTTAGCAAGCTATAGACATATGTATGTCCTTGATGCTATAGATTCGCGACTATTGAATGTGCTTTAGCCGGCTATAGAGTGGTGTATGTCCCTAAATCTATAAAATCGCGACCATTGAATTTTCTTTAGCGGACTCTATAGCATTTTATGTCACCGAAGCTATAGGCCTCTGACCTTTCAATGTTCTTTAGCCGGCTATAGAGTGGTGTATGTCCCTAAACCTATAGACTCGCGACCATCGAACTTTCCTTAGCCGTCTCTATAGTGTTTTATGTCACCTAAGCTATAGGCCTCCGACCATTCAACGTGCTTTAGCCGACTATAGAGTGGTGTATGTCCCTAGATCTATAGAATCGCGACCATTGAATTTTCTTTAGCCGTCTCAATAGTGTTCTATGTCACCAAAGCTATAGCCTCCGACCTTACAATGTGCTTTAGCCGGCTATAGAGGGGTGTATGTTTCCCGAGCTATAGACTCGCGACCATCCAATTTTTTTAGTCGGCTCAATGGTTTGCTTAAACTATAAGTCCGCGACCTTTTTTTTTTTTTTTTTTTTTTTTTTTTTTTTTTTTACTGCAGATGTACGAAAGTGGAAGAGAGTCATTCATGCGCTCGATCGGGGCGAGAATTTTCTTCAGCCAAATTAACGGGGCGTACGTCGCCGCGGCTATACGCCCGCGATCAGAAAACCTTCCTTAGCTGCCTATAAGACTATTGCAGTTTTGCCGGCTGCTTTCCCTGCGCATTGCCTTATTTCGGCGTTGACGTCATCTCAATCTTCCGTTTTTTAGCTCTAATTATCTGTCGTTTCCAGTGTATTTTGTAAGTATATGTATTTCATAGCGCGCCTTCTACTTTGTCCATGTCCCTGCCATGTTTTTATTTCTTTCTGCCTGCTGTGTTAAATATATTTAATGTTTTTTGTGTATATTTCGTCGTTCTCGACGCGGCGTCAAGAACGCTGCTTACGCCACTACAGAGGTGAGCTTTACTCTTGTCACGACGGTTTATCGCGCTATAAAGCCGTCCATTGGACTCGTATAAAGTCTCGAGAGGGCGGTTTCGAATGCCGGTGCACATGTCATCGGTGTAGGTAGAGCAACGACGTAGCAATCGCGACGCGAGTGCTGACTGCGCCTCGATCTGGCCGGCCGCGCTCGCTCTGTGGAAATGTAAGCTTGGGACTCTCGAGCCCCGTTAGCTTACTGAAGATGCAAGACACTACTTGGTCGTCGCGAATCCTTTGCCCATCGAATGGCTTCGAAGCCGTTCCAGCGCCCGGCGTATACCCTACGCAGTGTCCTCCAACAACCGTTCGCACAGCAGCGGAACCCTCCGTCTGCGAGCCCCGGCGGTTCGCCGTCGCGGGGATTATGTTCGCGGAAGTTCATGTTCGCGGTGTTTCATGTTCGCCGCGCAGGAGTTCATAAAATGCTCCCATTGAAGTCGCGACGATAAATCGTCGGCGCTCCCAGACTGCCAGTAGGCTCCGGGCGGTCGCTGACAGGCGCTGCTGCCTAGGGTACGCCGAGCACCGGAACGTTTTCGCCGGCGTTCGCAGGACAAAGATTCTCAACGACAAAGCAGCGCCCTGCATCATCAGCAAGTTAACGCTGCTCGAGAGTCCCACGCTCACATTTTATCAGAGTGAGGCGCAGTCGTCTCTCACTTCGCGATTGCTGCGTCGTTGCTCTGACTAAACAATTGACAGTTCTCTCGAGACTTCATGAGCGTTAAATCGACGCGTCTATAGCGCGATAGAGTGTCGTGACAACAAAAAAGCTTACCCCGGCAGGGGCGTGAGCAGCGGTGCAATCTCCGTCAACGCCCATGTCGAGAACGGCGAAATATACACAAATAACAGCCGAAAAAAAATTAATATCATTATGTACGCGCTACCCTAAGTGCGTCCTATTATCTCTCTGTTCTGCGAATTCAACAAATCAGCAAGCGCTGTGGCTAATTTCTCTTCTTTTTCTTTAAATTATGAGACATTAAAGTCATTAGAGCTTCTTGGACCACACATCCCCACCACGTGTCATCATGGTGCTCAGGGATTGTAATTGATGGCAGTGATATAGACTGAACTCACGGATGAAAAACGTATTACACAAATTTCTTAAACCACGCAATCATAGATGCCACAACGATGCAAAGATTCCCAAAATTTAAGTTTAAAAATGCGAACCTAACAGTGTACACATAATTCAAAAGTGCTTGGTAAAAAAATAAGACATATGTATATATATATATATATATATATATATATATATATATATATATATATATATATATATATATATATATATATATATATATATATATATATATATATTTATTTATTTATTTGTTTGCTTGTGGACATCCTGCGCAAAAAAAAAGTTTTCGCCATTAATTATTCATTTTAAATTATAATGTGGGCTACAAGGCGTAAAATATGATATCTTCAAACCTCCCTCGTTTTGGGTCACTTCTGGGAAGTGCAGCTTTAGAAAAAAGTCCAAAAGCTGGGGGGCCTTCATGGAGCTGTCCTGTTCACTCGGTAGTGACAGCAGAGTAGGCGCTATGCGTGTTTGAGGCCAATCACGTCTCCGGTTAGGGTCCCGTGACAACTGTCTCGAAGCTGGTGATAACGATGGACACGGCACCTGCCTTAAGCCCAAGGCCACTTATAGCATCCACTGCACTATCAACCTTGGCTCGAACTGTCAACAGGATATAAGTGACACATTCTCTCGCTGTGTTCATTGTTGGTATGCCCCTGAAGATTAGTCTTTGTGATCGCACCCCCGTTCTGGCCTTGAAGAAGCTCCGCTTTTCAATTTTTCTGTTTTCTCTTTTTCCCTAAGCTAAAAGCATTGTAGAAGGTGCGGACTCGGCGGACCAATCAACCGTAGACTTTTTATCGCTTCACTCCGCTCTCTGTGCGCATGTAACGGAAGGAGCGTGATCACGTGGTTTGACGGATGACGCATTAGCCACTGCCAATCCCGGAATGAGGCTGCTTGCGGACCTAGTTTCGCGTGTCGTGCGGCCCGCGGGGCTGCTGTGGATTTCGCTTCTATGGTAAAAGGTATCCCGATCGAAAAGTCCTACCCGTATGTCGGCAACAAGCGATTTCTTCAAAGAAGCCCAAGACATTCTTGTGATGCTTTCAGTGTTCGGTTCGGCAAATGACAGCTTGTGCTACATCGTGGTGAATCTTCACGGATCCCTTCCTTCTCGGTTTTGTGTTTGAGTGGTTGGTCTGCAGTGCCCGTGTCGACGTATATTTCGGATTACATCTTTCAAGTCCGGTATTTTGAACGTAAGTGCGCTGCAACCTACTCGGCGACAATTGACCGTTCTGTAGTGTCTATCTCCTGGCAGTGCCTATCTTCTGACAGCTGGGAGAATAATTTCCCCGTAATTCTAACGCA